AGGAGCCAAGCCTTGGAAGTACTCGTAGAACCATAGCTGCGATGAAAAGTAATCTTTAGCACATGAGTCGAACAAGTTAAAGTGAAACAAAAAGGGAAAAGATCATCACCTCTACGACTCTCCACAGACCATAGACAGTGATGGGAGACTCGTCATTCAGCTGCCGACAGCCATGACGTAGCGATAAGAGGAGATCGGCGTATCCAAGGCTGGCCCAGCTATAGGATCCTATCTCATGGATCCTGACCAGAGCGGGGAGGTAGCAAAGGAGTACACGTGAACTCCTATCGGGAGAAAGGGTCATAGAAATCAGGATCAGGATGAAAATCCGCACTCGCTGCTCAGCCGTCGTATCCTCCATGTCGAAGCCACGAGCTAAAACTGAAGCCAGCTCCGATCGTCCGCTCCTAGGACCACCTCAAGACACTGGTCGGGACCTGATGTACTGAACGATCGGACCCAACAAATCAGCTGTCTCAGCCGATCCCCAAGACAGATCAGACATCTGAGCTACAGCCCGGTCGGTGAAGCGTAACCCGCTGATCATACTGAAGTCTAGGGGGGTCACCGTCATCTCCCCCCAAGCAAAATGAAAAGTGTTGGTAGTATCCCAGAAATACTCCAACAATGCGCGAACGACCGTCGCACCGCAACCCCGGGGGTTGCGAAACCCTACAACTGCCGTATAGAAATCTACTAAACCAGCCGATTCCCATAGGGCGCTCGTAGCAGGATCCCTCGTAATGATCTGGTGAAGTCGAGGGATCAAATCGCCGGCTCCAGAACCGTGGTGGCGAAGCGTGCCATCGGCTGTGCCGGAGAGTGAGCGATGAGAGACATGGTTTTCACGGCAGAAAACCAACTGGTCTAGAGTCCACGGAGGTGGAACCCACCTACCTCTACTCGCGGATGCCCGAGGCTCGGACTCTAAAGCATTGTCGTCCATACCCTCAGGAATGGTGGGAGTGTCCTCCCGAAAAGCCCGACGCCTGCCGAGGGTAGAAAGATCGCAATCTCGTCGCCTAGGAATGCTATTATAAAAATCTAAATACTTAGCATCATTTCCTATGTTATTTAGTTATTGATTGAATTATACGCTAAATTTTTACCTCCAGGCTAAAAATTGGCAAAATTATGGTATTTAGCTTTTCCATGACAAACTAATACTATATTTCTCCTAGCCGCATGATACTATGTTCTCCATGACGATATAGTACATACGCAAAATATTTTTCGAAGTTGCACAAAAACAATGAATCAACACATCATGAAACACTTCACCACCGTTTTTTCACCATTTCAAGTACAAAAGAAATAACATGAACATCATTTCACAAAGTAGTACCCAAAAATGGTGATTTGCTAAATTCTCCATCAAATCATGTAATTTTTGTCTCAAATTTCTCACAAACACACATACATACATATACAAGTAAAATCATGGCAAGAATTTCAACATAAAACCTCAAAATAAAAAATCCCCAAATTGATTTTTAAGGGTTTTTTCATGAAATTACTTATGTGAAGCAAAATTCAAGACAAAAATCAAAGGAAACTTACATGAATGCTTGTAGAGGGTCGAAAATGAGAAATCACAGCAAAATTGGTGAAAATTCGAACTCCAAAAGCTCGAAAAAAGCTCCGGCCACCAACAGAACGCCGCGACAAGGTCAGCAGAATCCGTGACACGGCGAGGCTGTCCCGTGTCACGATAAGCTCAAAAAGCGGCGGAGCTCCGGTGACCCCGACGGTAGCTCCGGCGGAAGACAGCAACAACAACATCAAAAATTAGCAGCAGCAACCCGCAGCAAAAAGTAAGAAAATTAAAAAAAAAAAAAGAGGAGAGAGAGAATGTAGGAAGGCCGCGACACGGTGGTGGAAACCTGCCGACGGGAAGACAAACCGAGCACCGCTGAGCACTCGACGAGACACGGCAACCCAAGGAAAATTTTTGAACTTTTTGGAGTGAGAATCAAATGAGAAATGGCAAAATGGTGAAGCAAAAACGTGAATTTAAAGTAAAAAAGTAGCCGTTGAAAACCCCGTTCATCGTGCCACAGTTACCGTTATTGTGTAACGGTACACTGACGACGTGGCGCGCTGATTCACGTTGACCAATTCAACAAAAAAAAAAAAAAAAAAAAAATCAGAAAAAAATATTCCCGTGACACGGGATTTTATCCCATCTGACGGGTGGAGTTCCCGTGTCACGGCAATGTGGTGACGTGGCACGGCCCTGACATTTTTTACCATTTTGAATGATTTTTCGAGCTTATTGGGCGATTATTTTTCGCTAGAATTACGCGGAAAATTCTAACTGATATTTAAGGGGGACTAAAATTACCATTTTACCCCTAGCAAACATCAAAGTCTATTTTTTGGCATTTTAAGCACTTAATATGGTCGGATAATCGGCTTAAAATTGTGAAACAGATCTGCGGCCCACGTTCGGGGATAATCGAACCATCATAGACTTACAAATTTCACCAATACTTGGCTTTCCTCAGGCTTGGAAAGCGTTATCGGTGGGTTTTTCTTCAAGTATAGAAAACCGCCAAGTCGGCTTTCCTCAGGCTTGGAAAGCGTTACCGGTGGATTTTTCTTCAAGTATAGAAAACCGCCAAGTCGGCTTTCCTCAAGCTTGGAAAGCGTTATCGGTGGATTTTTCTTCAAGTATAGAAAACCGCCAAGTCGGCTTTCCTCAGGCTTGGAAAGCGTTATCGGTGGATTTTTCTTCAAGTATAGAAAACCGCCAAGTCGGCTTTCCTCAGGCTTGGAAAGCGTTATCGGTGGATTTTTCTTCGAGTATAGAAAACCGCCAAAATCTTTTGTCGGCTTTCCTCGAGCATGGAAGGCATTATCGGTGGATTTCTTCAAGCATAGAATGACACCAAATTCGTTTATCCGGTAACTTTCTTCAGGCTTAGAAAGGTACCAAACTCATCTGTCGATTTTCCTCAAGCATGGACAACATTTCAATATACGTCATCCAGTGGATTCCTTCAAGCTTAGGAAGCTGCCAAATTCGTTTGTCACCGATACACTGGTGCCAGATACGTATTCTATCCCTTTATTCTTTTATATGTGGAACTAACATTTTTCTGCAGGTATCGGCGTATACAGAGTGATTTAAGATCGCAGAACGTCTTAAATCATTCTCCGTCCCTATCGGCTACTTTGACTATCGTTTTCGAAACTGACGTTTCTACAAACTCAGTCAAAGTGGGGGCTTCTGTAGACACCTAAAAATGTCTCCCCAAAACCAAACCCGATGATGAACGACCTTTCACTGCCACTATTGGTCGGGTTCAGTATTTAATCCCGAGAGTGCTTAAAAAATCGTATTTTATTAAATTCATATTTTTGAACAATCCATGGATTAGTCTTGATGTTTGGTAAAAGCATAGTTTTAATTTCAGCCCAAACTTATTAATTAATTTTCAGCCCAAACCTTTTTTATTTTATTGTTTTATTATTTATTTTTGGCCCTAACCTTTTATTTATTTTTATTTAATTATTTTCTTATTTTAGCCCGAATAATAAAAGTCAGAAAAGGCCCGAAATTATCAATCGGCACTTAAAAAAGCCGAAGGAAATTAGGGTTAAAAATGTATTTAGACGGAAAATGGACTGGAAATTCCCGCGCCACGGCAGACTGCCACCGTGTCACGGGAATCCTTCCCGTCTAACGGTGGTATTTCCCGTGACACAGGAGGTTTTCCGTGACACGGGACATTCCGTGTCTTTTCCGCGTAAACCCTTGACGCGTTTTCTATCCCTTTTCTAAAAATTTCCCGCGTCACGCCAAAAGTGTACCGTGTCACGGGAATGTGTACCGTCTGACGGTGGGGCTTCCCGTGTCACGGTACAGTTTGAACGTGTCACGGGATACTTTTTTAGGGTTTTTATCATTTTAGGGTTCCGTGTGCTCCCTCAGCACATTTTCCCTATAAATACCCCCTCATTTCTGATGTACGGGGCACCGAGTAATTTTATGATTTAATTTTCTCTCTTCTATGCTATTAGCCTAAACACTAGCCTACCCTTTTCACTTCAAAATTCCTTCTTCAAGTACTTAAAGGAGTCCATATTTTACTCGAGGTTCCGTCCTTAAACCAAGGCGTGCAAGGTAGAATTGTTTGAGGGTTTGGTCCCAAAATCAACTTTATTTTAATTAATTTAATTTAGTTATTGTTTTATTTATTTCCTTGAATTTACTAACTCGTTTATCATTTTTTAGTAGCAAACAAACAGAATCGAAGTAAGGATCATGCTCCTTTTATTTTTATTATTTTTCTAACGATTTTATGTTGTTGGAATTGTGATTAATTTGGTTTTAATATTAATGTTGTTCTATTATATTTATTGATCACCATATTGCATGTTTAAAGGGAATATGTAATTGAAAATCATGCCTAATAAGATAATTTGGACAACCGGTTTAAGATCCTTTTAATCTTATTATTAATTGAAGTGATCACCAATATTTTAGAATTAGTGTGCATTAATCTTAAACCAATTTAGTTAAATAATAGTTTGGAGCGAATTGAATTATTGTTTGTATGCCTTTGAGATCACAGGAATTCTTTTCAATATAAGAATCGAGTAGAGGCCAATACGGGCGAATGTGACTCCATGACTCACTTCGTACCATCATCCCCGATCCTCTTTTCGTGGTTCCGAACCATATGGAGTAAGTAACCTCATGGATTATGAATGGGGTGTAACCTTTACGGGTCAACCGTTGTTGCCTTCGTTGTCCCTTATTCATGGTTGCCTTTTATGATCCGTGAACGGTTTACAAGTTCCTTTAAAACTTGTTGGCGGCTCCCTACTTTCCTTGTCCCTAATCGTATTATGTCAATTCCTACTTCCTATGACTGCCAAGCATATTCACCACATGCTTTTTAACGTAGGCGCACTTCGAGCGATGCCTACAATTAACAACCTGTTCAATAAGTTTACATCTCAATATCATTAACATTATACTCATCATCCCAACACCAATTAACCAAATTCATTCATATCAAGCCTATAATCCAAAACAAGAGTCCAACATTTGCTAAGTGTAAATCTAAAGTTCAACATTACATATAAAATACTCTGCTCAAATATCTCGAATATCATTTATCTCCTCCTCGGTATACGGTGTAGTTCTTGAAAAATCCTATCAACACAACAAATATACTAGGGGAAAGTTTTAATTCAAGATTGTAACTAACATCAAATTGTATTTATCAAACAAAAATGAAATATTTGACAACTCATACCTTAATAAGATCCTCACTGCTATGATGATGTTCAAGTATTTCGTACATATAACGCATGACGTAGTAGCCACACTCACGTAGATTCTCTTTCTTGTGATAGAAAACCAGGCATACAATCAGCTACAAACGCATCATTGGAATGTTTCTCACTTTCTCAAGGGTATCTACATGGAGCATATACTGGCAATATGATAATACATATACTTGAGTTCTCTATACAAGTATACAGACCAAAAACCTAATGAAAATATAAATAAGTATGTGAACATAATCCTAATCATGATATATAATCACACAAAAAGACATAAATAAGATAGACTCAATGATTATAAATGCAACTATTCTCACCAATCAGACGCTTGATTGGAAAGCAATTGACAAACTAATGTAATTAATTTTACAAGCATTGCCCTACTATTGTACATTTAACATTTTCAATGGAACCATGATGACTAACCCGTCAATTCATAATAGCTAACAGCAATAGAGCAGCGAGAACATAAATATGTGAGTTGTGACCTTGCACAAAAGCAGTTAATAAAGCATGTAATTCTACAGACTACAAAAAAAATGACATCTAATAGCTACTCATTCATCTAGCCAACTTTGCACCTTAATAATCGATGGTGGTATCAATGATAATCAGTTTTTTTTATACCAGGACAAGGAAGAACCAAGAGAAAAGCAGAACAAAACTATGCTATATTGCTACAACTCAATATGTTTTACCTAAGTAGAGAACAAAATTTTAGACATAGGAAACTACATACATCAAAACATGCAGCTGCATATGAGATATATAAGTGAAGTTAGTAAGATTGTGTTGCTTAGAAGTAAATTATATTGCTTAGATCCCTGTAAGATTCACATTTTAAAAGTTCTACAATATTGTACTAGTTAACAAAAGATAAGCCATAAATTCCAAGGACTTCATATACAAGGATATATCTAAAAGTCAGTTAATAAAGTCGGGTTTTGTCAAGTGGTACAGCTGGAAAGTCTAATAAGCATGTTCTGCTTGCAAGGGTTGTTCTCCTTGAAGTTTTATGCAATTTCTTAGCTTTGTTTTCTAAGTTTTACTAACATAGCTGTAGCCTATTTATAGGCCTAAATTTATCAATAATATTCAGTTTTTTAGTCCCCTAAAAACCCCCACCCATACAACTAAGCCTTAGAACTTGGATACAAGTTTATTAGACACCTTAATTGAATTATATGAACAGATTTTGTACAGGTATATTATAATTGCTTACAATTCAATGCGAATCATTACAAAAGTCTTTAAACATCTAACCAAAAAGATTCTAACATTATAAAATCAAACGATATTTCCCATATAACATCAATGTAATTTAAAGTAGTGAATATCAAAAGCATAAAACTAAAAGATTAAAAAAAAATCTGAAATATATCGAAGTAGGGGATAAGTTATTAAGCACTCAATATAGACAACCAAATACATTAATCGTTGACTCATATATTAAACAACATAAATTATTAAACAAGCAATAAACATACCTAATCAATGTCTTTTTCTCGGCCACTTCTTTTTGACTGGGAGGTCTTCAAGTGCTGCTTGTATATAGACAACATATAATGGAATTATAGCTTCAATTATTGATTAAATAGAAATAAAAAACAAGATTAATACGGCAAAACAGAATCAAAATTGACGAAAGAAGTAAACATATAGTAATGAGAAATTGACAAAACCCAAAACATTCGTTAAATCGTGTGGATTATAGCAAAGTAGATAAAAATTAAGCAAAATTAAAAGGGGAAATTAGCAAAACTAAAAGATTAATGAGAAAAACATTCTTTAAGGATGAGGAAATTCAGCAAATTGTATGGGTTGAATGAAATTCACAAATAGCTAGACTTGAAGAATTAAGCAAATTTTACGATCGCATCAACAAATTCAATGTTTGGGGTTCTTCAAGCAAAAATTTGAGATTAATATCGAGATTAAAATTAATTAGCAATTTGCAATAAAAACCAAATTAATAAAAAAATTGGGCAATAAACTCAAAGATAACCCTAAAATTCGTTCAATTGGCAAAATGCAAAAACACAAGAATATTGGACTAGCAGCACAGATAATAAGCATTTAATTTAAAGCAAATTTTCTCACTCTCAATCGATGCGAATCGGATACAGAACATCTCCTCCTTCCACTCTCCATCAACATAATCACTAGCAACCCACATACAAGATTTTTCATTCCCGACATGCTCTTGAACCATCATACCCGCAATAACTACAAATACAAATTGATCATTCATAGAAAAAACTCATTAATTCAAGCAATTTCACACAATAATTATACAAAAAAAAAAACCCAGAAAAATTAACAAATGATAGAAATAAAGTCACATACTCAGATGATTAGCACAGATCTTAAGAGTTTTAGATTTCCGCATAACGAATCGAACTTTCCCATGAACCTCATGCTTTAGAAACTTCGTTGTACCAGTACCCCTTTCTTTCCATTGATTTCCTTCTTTATCAAATCTGTAAAGTTTTGCTTTTCTAATAACAATTCCAAAACACGAACAATTAGAAATAATAAAACATCACAATAACCCTAGAAAGCCGAACATATCCCTAAATTAGAGGCAAAATTCAATGATTGAATCAATAACTGCAATGAAAACAACAATTGAAGAGCACCCAATCAAAAGTAACACAAAACCCTAAAAATCAGGGTAAAAAAACCTAGGATTGAGGCAAAATTCAACCATTAAATCAACAAAAATCATATAGAAAACAAGGGTTCAAATTTATTGGGGTTTTAGGTTCAAATTTCTGCTCGAATTGGGGGGTTTTTGGCTAAAAAATGTTTAATTTTTCTGGGGTTTTCAGGGTTCGAAATTTTTGGGGGTTGAGGTTCGAATTTCTGCTCAAATTGGGGGGTTTTTGGCTGGAAAATCTTTGATGGTTCTGGGGTTTGCAGGGTTCGAATTTGCCGGGGTTTATACCGCAAACTTCTACTCGAATGGGAGGGGGGTTTGCTTGATTTTTATGGGGTTTTTAGTGTTCGATTTTGCTGGGGGTTTTGGTTCGATTTTGTGCTCGAAAATTGGAGATATTTGGCTTCGATCTTTTTATTTTTCTGGGGTTTTGGTTTGGTCGAATTGCTGTGTTGAAATCCGTTGTTAGAGGCAGCAACAAATGGGTAGCAAAAATATTTTTTTGTGGGTATATCGAATTTGGAGGCAGCAGCAAATGGCGAGATGGGTAGAAAATTTAGAATTACTAACCTATACTTATCTGCGTCGTTCATTAATTAAAGAAGTGACGCAAATAACTTAAATGTAATAATGTAAATTAACTATTTGCGTTGCTCACTAATTAAAGAAGTGACGCAAATAACTCACAAACTCATTTGCGTCACTTGTCCTTAAAGGAGTGACGCAAATAAGACTGTTATTTGTGTCATTCTAATAAATAAACGCGACGCAAATAACATAAAGCTGAAGAATATTAGGCTTTTGTGTCGCTTCATAGCTAATGAGCGACGCAAATAACTTATAAAGAAGCTAAAATATATCATTTGTTTCGCTTGTTTCTACGAGTGACGCAAAAGAGGCGTTGGAAATAAAAAAAATTTTACTAGAAAACACCAATGATTCTGCAAAAAACTTTAATTATACATCAACTATTTGTAATTTGTGGAGCTTATTAAGAAAATAAATTCATTACTAAAAATTTTGCGTTGTTTTATGTTTGCTCAGAATATTGGGACATTGGAAACTCGACCAATACTTTCCAATTTTGTGGTGCAATATTTTTGTACGAGGAAAGATTAGAGAAGCATCAAAACTCAAAAAATCTAAATACTCAAAGTGTTGTATGCAAGGAAAAGTGAAATTACCTTTACTAAAAGAACCACCACCACTACCTAGTGGATTTTTAAAGAACAAGGACCCTAGAAGTAGGAATTTCTTGGAGAACATAAGATCTTATAATAATATGCATGCATTCACGTCAATGGGAGGAAAAATTGATTCAGCTATTAATCAAGGTCATGGACCTTACACCCTTCGCTTACATGGTCAGAATTATCATAGGACAGAAAGTTTGCTACTAAATTCAGGCTCATCTCCAAAATTCTACCAACTCTACAATTATGACACAGATAATGAGGTTTCAAACCGAAAACATGCTATGAGGTTTGTTATTTCTTTACTTACTTATTTACGTCATTTATATATTAGATTTAAATTTATGTGAATTGAACTATCAAAATCCTAACATTATTATTTTCCTCTTTTTGCATGGTCAACTAAGAAATTCAGATGATTTGAATGATGCTATTCTTAACAATCTTAAAACGATGCTTGATGAACACAACCCAATTGCTAAGGCTTTTAGAATGGCAAGGGATCGTTTTAAATCTAATGATTCTTAAAATGTCAAATTACAACTCATCGGAAGGAGAGGGGTTGATGGGAGGAACTACAACCTGCCAAGTGTATTTGAAGTTGCAGCACTTATTGTCAAAGATATCGGAAACTCTATCGATAGGGATATTATTGTTGAAAAGCAATTAGGTGTACTTCAACGTATAAATGAGCTTCACTCTTCTTACCTTGTAAAGCAATACCCATTGTTATTTCCATATGGTGAGGATGGTTATAGGGTCGATATTCTGTTAAGGGATGATGATGGAAGTAATTCTTTGAGAAAAAGGATGAGATTGAGTATGAGTGAATTTTTTGCATTTCGCATACAAGAAAGACTTAATGAAGCTGCAACACTATTGATGTCAAGAAAGTTATTTCAGCAATTTTTGGTTGATGACTACACTATGATTGAGGCTGATAGACTTAACTACATTCGAACACATCAAAAACAATTGAGGTCAAGATTGTACAAAAATCTTGTTGGTTTAATTTTGAGAGGAGTTATTGATCCATCAACTATGGGATTACGAATTGTCTTACCTTCATCATTTACTGGTGGTGCTAGATATATGATGCAAAATTTTCAAGATGTCATGGCTATATGCAGGTGGTATGGATACCCTAATTTATTTATCACATTTACATGCAATCCAAAGTGCCCAGAAATCACTAGATTCGTTCAAAAGAGAGGACTCAGACCAGAGGATACTAGACATTCTTTGTAGAGTTTTTAAAATGAAACTTGATCGCTTAATAAGTGATCTTAAGAAACAAAAGATATTTCCCTTCACAGTAAATGCTTGTAAGTTTTTTCTTATCTTTACTTCATTGATTTATTTAATTTTAACATTTAGCAACTACATAACCAAATAATTTGATTCAGTGATATACACGGTAGTGTTCCAAAATTATGGATTGCCTCATGCTCACATCCTTTTATTCTTAAAATCTTAGGACAATATTGCTAATGCTCGTGACATAAATAAAGTTATATGTGCTAAAATCCCTGATCCAATAAAGGAACCTAAGTTATATAAGCTTGTTAGAGATTCTATATGATGCACGGTCTTTGTGGTGCTTTAAATAAACAATCTCCATGCATGAAAGAAAGAAGGTGTTCAAAACATTTTTCTAAGTGCTTTGTTGAAGAGACAAGTGTTGATGAAGAAGGATATCCTATTTATAGAAGACGGGATGATGGGAAATTTATTAAGAAGAATGGTATAAAGTTAGACAACATATTTGTTGTTCTATACAATCCAACACTTATCCTAAAATATGGTGCACATATCAATATTGAATGGTGTAATCAACATAGATCGATTAAGTATTTATTTAAATACATAAATAAAGGAAATGATTCCATCGCCGCTGTTGTTTCTGGGTCTGAAGAAGAGTCTTGTGACAAGGTTGATGAAATTCAAGCATACTATGATTGTAGGTGTGTGTAAGTTAATCATTGTATTTAGCTTGATTAAATTATACATAGGCTGATTATTAATTTGCATAAATACATTGTATGCATGTATATTTCACCATGTGAAGCAATATGGAGAATTTTCGGATTTGACATGCATTACAGATTTCCTTCCGTAAAAAGACTAAGTTTTCATCTTCCTGATGAGCAAAATGTAGTATTTGAAGATGATGATCCTATAGATGCAGTCATAAATAAACCTACTATAAGGAAATCTCAATTCTTAGCATGGATGGAACGTAATAAGAATGATGCAAAGGTTAGAAAACTCACTTACATTGAGTTTCCAACGGAATATGCATGGAAAGAAGGCATATGGGCTAAACAGCAAAATTCGTTTTCAATTGAAAGAATATACCATGCCCCCCTAGGATGCGATGAAAAGTATTATTTGAGAATTTTGTTTAATTATGTTAAAGGCCCTACATGTTATGAAGATATTAGAACGGTTAATGATGTTCTATACTCATAGAAGCGACACAAATACACTATAAATTAGCAACGTAAATGAGCCTTTTTCTACTAGTGATTAGCATTATAATTTTATAAACTGAAGTTCTTATAAAAGATAAAATTATAGCAGCACCAATATAATAATTCTACATAAGGGAAATCAACCTAAACTCTATTATTTTTATAAATTATAGTAACATACCTTGATTTTCTTGAGTATCATTGTGAATTTGTATAGTATCCAGTGTCGAATTAGAATGAATATCACCTGTTATTAGAATAAGTTCTATAAAATTATAAAGCATAAAACTAACACATTTTAATCGTTCATAATTATGGACTTACCAAAATGTAAATTTGTGTCCAGGTTTGGTATGTTGTTGTTGACCTTTTTGGATACTTGTTCATAAGTATTGATTTTTGTTCTCGATGTCGGAATGGCAGACCTTGTCTTGGTTTGAGCATTGCCACATAATTGGGACATTTTCTTTCCTCTGTGTTGGTTATGAACATGCTTTGCTTTTAGCAATAAGGAATAGCTTATTGGTTAGTTTGAATTCTCATACATGAAAAATATTTAGTAGGAAAAGGAATATCTATAGAGTATTAATATTATGCATTATATTGTACAAGTATATTTTTTCAAGGTAAAAATTGAATACATGGCTCAAAAGCTATCAAAATTTCAATCAAGTGTAGACATCTTTATTGCAGCATTAGTCATTTTTTTTTTATTTTTTTCATATGGAGTATTGTAGAGTGTGATTAAATGATGATAAGAATTAAAAACATATTGTACACTTAAAAAACAAAGTGAATAAACCTGACCATTTGTAATGTCGCTCATAGGGATTCTATAACCAATGTTGGATGAATTTGATCATACACAAGTTTTTAATTATGTTTGCTCTATGTTACCTATTTTCATATATATCCGGTTGGCAAATTTTTAATTCAAATAAAAGATAAACACATCTTAATGGAAAATGATACATTACCAAGATCATTAGTTCACTTTTGTTGGTGCTTTTCCATGATAATAGCTTTTCTCTTTTGTCTTGCAAGTTTTTTAAATTTTGGCTCCATGTATTGATCTATTACAATAAACAAACAATATATTTTAATGTTTATAAGAATAAATAATGTTAGTATCATGTTAATAAAGATATATAAATATATAAATATATTGAGAAAAATTTGGATAAACCTAACCATTTTAAATGTCTCTCGTAGGGTGTCTACTCCCAATGTTGAATGAATTTGATCCTCCAAGACATTCTCCTTGATTTTTCTCTATGTTACATACATCCATATATATTTGAATAAGGTTTGACATATTTTTAATTCAAGTAAAGAAATGATTAATTGTAAAATGATAAATCACCGAATTCATTAGTTTTTTGTCGTTGACGTTTCTCTATGAGAAGCCTTTCTCTTAACTCTTGAAAACTTTGTGAAATGTGGCTCCATGTGTAGATCTATCACAAACAAACAAACTTTGTAAAATATGGTTCCATGTGTGAAGTATGTTTTAATTTTAATCTATTTCATTAAAGAACAAACAAACCGTGAACCTAATACTGATTTTAGTTTGATTGCAAATCTCACATGCATCTTCATGAGTTATTCATTTTTTAAAGGTATGAAATAATTACAATTTATTTTCTATAAAGAATTAATAATAGTATGAATATAATATCATACTTTATATGAATGTATCCCAATTTGTATAGTGAATATAAAAATGTTAATAACCTACTTTACAATTTCTACCATATAATATTATAGATATTACATATATTTTATAGCATTTTTTTAGACAACATATATTTATAGCATATTTACTAACTTAAGTGAAATATTTTTATTAAAATCATCTACTGTTTATAACGTATGAATATTGTTTATTAAGTATGAATATTATTATTTTTCCGTATTTTAATTTCTACAATT